CTGAGAAATTGAAGCAGGAAGAAGAAGAACGTAAGAAGAAAGAAGAAGCTGAGAAATTAAAACAGGAAGAAGAGAATAAAAAAAGAGGGGAAGCTGAGAAATTGAGACAGAAAGAAGAAGAACGTAAGAAGAAAGAAGAAGCTGAAAAATTAAAACAGGAAGAAGAGCGTAAAAAAAGAGAAGAAGCTGAGAAATTGAAGCAGGAAGAAGAAGAACGTAAGAAGAAAGAAGAAGCTGAGAAATTAAAACAGGAAGAGGAGCGTAAGAAAAAAGAGGAAGCTGAGAAATTAAAACAGGAAGAAGACGGAAAGAAAAAAGAAGAAGCTGAGAAATTAAAACAAGAAGAGAAGCGTAAGAAAGGACATGAAGCTGAAAAATTGAAACAGGAAGAGGAGCGTAAAAAGAAGGAAGAAGCTGAGAAACTGAAACAAGAAGAAGAAAAACATAGAAAGGAAGAAGAAGCAGAAAAGTTAAAAAAAGAGGAAGAGGAACAAATGAAAAAAGAGGCAGAAAAATTGAAACAAGAAGAAGAGGAGCGTAAAAGGAAAGAAGAAGAAAAGACGCTAAAACAGGAGGAAGAGTTAAAGAAGGAACGAGAAGAAGAAGAACGTAAGAAGAAAGAAGAGCAGGAGAGATTAATGCATGAGGAAGAAGATCGTAAAAAGAAAGAAGAAAATGAAAAATTAAAACGCGAAGAGGAGGAACGGAAAAAGGAACAAGAGGAAGAGAGATTGAAACGTGAAGAGCAGGAACGTAAGAAAAAAGAGGAAGAAGAACGAAAGAAAAAAGAAGAAGCTGAAAAACTGAAACAAGAAAATGAACGTAAGAAGCAAGAAGAGGACGAAAAATTAAAGCGAGAAGAAAAGGAACGCAAGAAACAAGAAGCAGAAAAATCACGGCTTGAAGAAGAGGAGCATAAGAAGAAGGAAGCAGAAAAGTTAAAGCTCGAAGAAGAAGAACGTAAAAAACAGGAAGAAGAAAAATTAAAATTTCAAGAAGAGGAACGGAAGAAGAAAGAACAAGCTGAGAAATTAAAACAAGAGGAAGAAGAACGTAAGAGAAAAGAAGAAGAAGAAGAAAGGCTAAAGAAGGAAGAAAAGGAACGAAAGAAAAAGGAAAAGAAAGAACGATTGAAACGTGAAGAAGAAGAACGCAAAAAGAAAGAAGAAGAGGAGCGTATAAAGAATGAAGAATCTGAGAAATTAAAACTCGAAAAAGAACGTGAAAAGAAAGAAGAAGCTGAGAAGTTGAGACAGGAGGAGGAAGAACGTAAAAAGAAGAAAGCAGCAGAAAAATTAAAGCAGGAAGACGAACGTAAAAAGAAAGAAGAAGCAGAAAAGCTAAAACAAGAAGAAGAACGTAAAAAGAAAGAAGAAGCCGAGAAATTGAGGCAGGAAGAGGAAGAACGTAAGAAGAAGCAGGAGGCTGAGAAACTGGAGCAAGAAGAGAAACGCAAAAAACAGGAAGAAGCAGAAAAATTAAAGCAAGAGGAAGAACGCAAGAAGAAAGAGGAAGCAGAAAAATTAAAACAAGAAGAAGAACGCAAAAAGAAAGAGGAAGCAGAAAAATTAAAACAAGAAGATGAACGTAGAAAGAAAGAAGCTGAGAAGTTAAAGCAAGAGGAAGAACGCAAGAAAAAGGAAGAGGCTGAAAAACTGAAACAAAAAGATGAGAAAAGAAAGAAAGAAGAAACTGAAAAGCTGAAGCAAGAAGAAGAGCGTAAGAAGAAGGAGAAGGCTGAAAAGCTAAAAGAAGAAGAAGAACGTAAGAAGAAAGAAGAATCGCAAAAGTTAAAAGATGAAAAGAAACGTAAAAAAAGAGAAGAAGCTGAGCAACTAAAACAGGAAGAAGAACGTAAGAAACAGGAAGAAGCTGAGAAATTAAAACAGGAGGAAGAGCGTAAAATGAAAGAGAAAGAAGAACGTGAGAAAAAGAAGGAAACTGAGAAACTGAAACAAGAAGAAGAGCGTAATAAGAAAGCAGAACAACATAAGAAACAAGAATCTGAAAAATTGAAACAAGAGGAGGAGCGTAAGAAAAGAGAAGAAGCTGAAAAATTGAAGCAAGAAGAAGAGCTTAAGAAAACAGAGGCACAGAGATTGAAGCAGCAGGGAGAAAAACGCAAGAAGGAAGAAGAAGCTGAGAAACTACGACAAGAGGAGGAACGGCGGGAAAAGGAGAAGGCTGAGAAGAGAAAGCAAGAGGAAGAGACACATAGGAAAAGAATAGAAGAAGAACAAAAGATCGAATCGGAAGCACTGAAACAGAGAGAGGAAAAATTGCGAAAGAAGAAGGAAGAACGAAGATTGCAGCAAGAGGAGGACGAGCGCAATGAACGGGAGGAGGCGGAAAAGCGAAAGAAAGAGCAAGAGCAAAGAAAACGCGAGCGAGAGGAGCGCGCGAAGAAAGAGGAAGAGGAAAGACTCAAACGTGAAGAGGAGGAACGTAGGAAAAAGGAGGAGAGAGCCAAATTAAAGAAAGAGGAGGAAGAACGCAGGAAAGCCGAGGAAGCGGAAAGATTAAAGAGAGACCAGGAACGAGAAGAGCAGAGACGGGAGGAAGCCAGGCGACGAAGGGAAGAGCAAGAGAAACAGATAAGAGACATGACAGAGAAAGTCAGGAAAAGTGAGGAGGAACGCCTGAGGAAGGAAGACGAAACGCGTGAAAATAGAAGACTGGAACGCGAACGAAGAAGACAGGAAGAGGTGGCGAAATTACACAAGGAAGAAGAAGAAAGGCTTCAGAGGGAAGAAGAACGCAGGAGAAAAAGAAAAGAAGCGGAAAGACAGTGGAAAGAGGACGAAGAGACCATTAGAAGAAGGGAGACTGAACGTTTGGAGAGGAAACGCGCCGAAGAGCGTCAGAATAGAAAAGAGTCTGAACGTTTGAAGCGAGAGGACGAGGAAAGAAGACGCAGAAGAGAGACCGAGAGGCAATTAAGAAGAGAGGAAGCAGCACGAGAGATGAAAGAAGAAGAGGAACGTTTAAGAAGGCGACACGAGGAAGAAGCATGCAGACTTAGAAAACGAAGACAGGAACAACTGAGGGACGATACTTGGTCGAAGATGAGACAGGGCGAGGCGGATCAGTTGTTCAGAAAGATAACGGACGACGCGTGGCGAATTGGAAAAATGAAAGCTGGCTCTTCGGACGTGGAATTTTGGCGGGACAAGCGAGACAAGTCTTATCGATACGACTCTGGTTTCGATTCAGGGCTTTCTAGCACGTCTAGATCGTACAGTTGGAGAGATTCTCTTACTTCTTTGACCAGAAAGAGAATCGACGATTTTCTCGATTATAAATTGAGGGATACTTCGATCGACAGATACTACCACGACACGGGGACGTATTACAGAAGAAGAAGAAAGAGAGACGATCATATTATTCGAGCAAGATCTATCAGTTTGTTGAAGTACGATGACTATTCGACGGGGGATAGCGACACGACTATCACACCTGCTATTATTAGCAAACCACCGAGATATAGCGGCAGGCTAAAGAAGAGTTTGCGAACTGATTTCGAGGATCGTGGATCGAATTTGTCGATATATCTACCATCTATTAAAGACGAGGTAAGAATATGGTAACATAATGATCTGCCAAGTGTCCAAAAAAAAAAAAGAAAAAAAAATAAGAAACTGAAATTTGTTAAAACTATAAGTATGTGAAATGATTGTTACGTAGATCACACCACGCGACAAGGGAAAGAAGCCATCGTTCTGCACGAGGCTGACAAATAGAACCGTAGGGGTTGGCATGAGGACGAGATTAACCTGCACTGTGCTTGGACACCCGGAGCCGAGAGTTTACTGGACGAAAGATGGCGAAAGGCTCGACATAACTACGAACAAATACAAAACTCGATTCGATAATGGTATGGCTTATTTTGAATTGCACGAAGCACTCCCCGAAGATTCCGGATTGTATACCTGTGTTGCCGAGAATGTTCACGGAATCGCGACCACAGAATCCACGTTAAAAGTATACCCCGATTTCCAACCAGCATTGTCACCCCCTACTTTTACGAGATCTATCAAAGGTATGTATCCCAAGTAAAAGTATTCTAACTGCTAAATATTTGTTAAAAGAAAAAAAAAAAAA